TAGCATCGCAGTCCAGTCTCCCTCCAACACGTAGCAACCCTTCCACCGGTATAAGATTCAGCTTACGCAGCGCGCTCCGTTGGACCGCTGTACGTTTTTGGTTCTTCCCTGCGTTGGCTTGTAGAGTCATTGTTTCCAGGGGAAAATGCCGCAGTTGCAATAATCTCACGATGTTGTGCTCCGCTTTCATTAGGTTGTCCGTCGAAAAAGGTCCCACACGCAGCGATTCCTCAGGTCGAAATCCGGTCATGATCATCACCATATGTTTAAATCTTATCCACCAAGTGACGGAACAAATCAATCTGCTTCAGTTTAGCTATCAAGGGGAAGTGACGTCGCGTTCCACCGTCATGATTACCTGTTTTGCTTCTATGAACTCAACGGGCGCGGGGGTCCAAGCACTGTATTGTCGTCCTTTGATGCGGCGGTCAGGAAGGTAGGGCCACCCAGCCAATCGCGTAGCTTGTCCAATGATTTCAAGCCTCGAGAGCAGTGGTCCGATGGTTATCCGCAGATTTCATGTACCGCAATTGATGTACCTTGATCTCTTCGTGCACTACCGTCAGTCGGTTGGAAACAGAGGTGCTGAACCTAGTGCTGACATTGTTCACATTACAATGGCGGAGTCGGTCCAGAACGTGACGCGATCTTCGAATATACGGAAGCATTGTCTCAACTGCTTGGCTATACGCACCTCTGGCACGGCCGCGGTCAGTTCGAGGCGGGGTATCGAAACGCACTTTAATGAGGCGACCCGGACTTTGGTGAAAAGTAATTCTGTCTTGCGCTCGCCATTCATGTGCTGCCAACGTACGTATCCCGTTTCAGACGCGTCGGAGAATAGGTGCCTTTTGCCTTTCGTCCCTTGACTGCTCTGGCTGAGTCGGCGCGGAATCCGTATCTCACCTAGCCGACTGAGGCTGGTCAACCATTGATCTCAATCCGTCCGGTCCTGCTGGTCTAAGGGTTGATCCAACTCTGTCCTTTTTCGACAAAGTTCTTGAAGGAGGACCTTCCCCGGCAACAACCACGGCGCGACAAACCCGAGCGGGTCGTATACGCTGGATACCGACGATAGCAGCCCTCGTCGGGTGGGATTCCTCTCGGGCGGCTTTAGTTGAAAAATGAACTCGTCTGACTCCGCGCTCCATCGCACCTCCAAGGTCGGATCGATGGGGGAGTGACTGTGTGGTCAGGTTGAGAGCCCCACTGGCTCTGTCAGTTTCGGGAACGTTGTCTAAAGCTAAACGTGAGTTAAAAAACCATTTGGTTAAACGGAACCCCCTTTCTGCAGTGGATACTTTAGCTGCGTTATGTGTTGCTACTCTTGCGTCGTCAAAGGCGCCTAGGAAGTCGTCAACGTAGAAATTATTCACAACGCCAGTTTACACCGAGACCGGAAAGTTGTTCCCGTAATGCGAAGCTGTCCGCCAAAGTGCGGAAAAACCGCTCCAAATGAATGAACGGTCCGGCGACAGTCCACCGCCGGGTTCTGCAAGTCACCATCGGGCCACCATAGCAATCGCACGGCGTTGTGCTGATCCTCTGGTATCTTGATTTTGAGGAACATCTCTTGTATGTCAGCTGCCACTGCAACTGCTCCCAGCCGGAATCGGTTGAGCACGTCAATCAAGGGATTGGTCCAGTCTGGTCCTTGCAACAGACAATCGTTAAGAGAGAGGCCGCCGTACCGCACCGCACAGTCGAATACCACGCGTATCTTCCTTGGCTTTCTGGGGTTTGTTACCGAGTGGTGTGGCAAGTACCACAGATTTTCCCGCGTGGTTGTGAGACATTCAACCGTTCTATGTATCCCAGTTGAACGTTCCGTTGCATTGCCGCGGCGTATTGTCGACGGAGATCTGTGTCGCGGATCAGTCGACTCTTAAGGTGCTCTAACCATTTTAAGGCTATCCCGTGGTTGTTCGGCAATCGGTCGTATCCCGTCCTCCATGACGGCGGCACCTCGAACCGGTCGGGATGGCACCGTGTCCCTGTTTCGACTATTGCTAATGCCTAATTGTCTTCTACGGAAGGGCCCCCTTTCTGGTCGTTCAAGTCATCGAACTCATTGTCATACATCCTTTGGAGAGCTTGCTCGATCTTATCGTTGTTAGCGGTCGGGATAGTGAAGGTAACTGATAACGGTTTACGATTTGTCGCTTGAGGCGGTCCGAACAACGTCCACCTGAACATGGTGCGAGCAGCATATGGTTCTTTCCTGCCGCCCAGTCTCTGGTCCAGGACCCAGTGTGCTTCGGGCACGTCACACCCTATTAGCAAATCGACTTCGGGAGAGTCGGTTTCTTCGAAACACAAATCTCGCAGGTGCGGCCAGTGCGTTACTAATTCCACGACCGATTCCACTGCTCGCATCGGCAAGTCGGTGATGAGGAAAGCTTTGGTCACCTCTACTCGTTTTCCATTATCTAGCGAAACTTACGTCACGCTTGCTTGATCGGCGGCTTGGTGCCGTTCACCGTGCTGATCGTCAGGGAAGAACGTCGGGTTGTGATATTGTGGTTTACGGTGGAGTGTTTGGTGAGCAACGTGATATCGGATCCGTTGTCGATAAAAGCCATTGCCTTCACCACCCCCCTGGGCGTTAATATACCCACATGTGCTACCACGAGGAGAACCTGCTTGTCCGCCAATTGAAACAGTAGATATACACTGGGTTTTGGGGTGCCGATAACTGGATTTCTCTTACAGAACGCAAGAGAGCTTCCTTGACATCCCGTTTCCCTGCAGCTGCTACGATTCTACCAGGCGGCCGAAGGATTTGAGCCGTTCAAACAGATAAAGCACGCACCATATCTCTTGGCTGCTTTCCCACGGTCTGGAATTGCTAATTGCATAAACTCCTCGCACGCGGATAACTCGTGATTCGAACGACACATGGGGCATCCCATGGTGCGACGTTCTCCTAGTGTCGCATAGTTATTTGCAATCCTAGAACCTCTCGGGATCTCATAGGTTCGTTCTTTGGTGTGATGTCTCTCTTGCCTACTAATGCTGGCGAGTTGTCCAAAGTGACTGCTGGCGACTTCGGCACGGTTTTGGGTGAATTTCGTTAGCTCGGTGATGTTCGGTTCCTTTCCCATACGGCCAATAATCACCGCCTCCTCCGCCCATTGCTGCTGTATGTCAGCCCGTAGGCATCGTACTATTGCCTCTAGGGTGTGTACTGTGTTCAAATCAACTTCGTAATTCATTTGAGTCAAAGCAATGAAACAGTTTTGCAACTTCATTACCAGTCTCACTAACGATTCGGGCTCGTTTCTCGCTTTACAGCACTCGGCTAACACCCGTCTATGCGCGTCCATGCCACATGAAACGGTTGGCCATACAGTTCCTTCAAAATGTCCCTTGCTCGGTTATACCCGATTTCGTTCGGCAGCATTACACATTCTTCAATAGACTCTCGGGCCTTTCCGCGGCAGTAATGCTTTAGGTGAGGGAACTTCTGCCCTGGATCGGCGACCCGACAGTCGACTAAATTATCAAATTTTCTAATAAATCTCCAACAGTTCCTGGGGTTCCCGTCGAATGGAGTTAGCTCCACCTTGGGCAGGTCTATCGACATGTGGCGGTACATTACTTCAATCGGTGGTTGAGCAACTTCTGGCGTCAGCCTAATGGGTAGAGTTCGCGTTTCCATCGTGGCGTGCTTAGTTGAGCAGGGTTACCTAGCTTCTGATTCCTTGAGCTTCTTCGACCTACTCTCCTACTATAACTCTACAATCTTACGGAGATATATATCAGACATCTCAACATGAGCATCATAATCTACGGCACGTAAAGTCCTAAAACTAAAAGGACTAACATAATTAAAAATATAGGCATCAGAAACCCCTACCCCCGTAAATTCCCCAGTGACGTGCCGGGTCACTTCGTGTCCTTCCTCCTCAATCCTTCCTTGTTCAAACGACATTCTCTGGTTCCGAATTGCGAGAATTTGAATACTTTGTCTTCCAACTAGAGCAGCGAGTAACGTATAGCCAAAATCGGATCCCAAAACGTCAACAAAACGAATGATCCAGCAAGTGTCTACGGTGCTGCATTAATAAACAAGCAAATAAGCAAATAAAAACCGTACAAACCTCAAAGTGATCTCAAAACAACTTGAAAACAAGAGCCAAGTGTTACCGTGAGCGAAATTCAATAAACATGAATGGAAGAAAATAGACCTGAGTGAGAACAGTACGCTCATCGTCACGCTGCACACGAACGAGCCAAATGTGAGCGCTCAGGTCGCAGTTAAAATAGTAGGCTGTAAATGAAGCAGATAAACAAAAAAGTCAAATGGTTGGCTCGATGTGTAAATATACAAAGGGNGTGGAATGTCAAATATTTATGTATGTGTGAGGCGGGTGGTGTTGAGTAAATGGGACGTGAAATTCACGAAATGTGGAACCGATACAGATTGACTGGGCATTACAGGAAGGATTTTCACAGATCGATCAACGCAGTTTGTTCTTCGCTGCCCTGTGTTTTAAGGGAGCGACTTCATCCTGTGGAAGCAAAGGATTCGCCTTCATCCGGGCCCGATGCTGGTCAACGGAGTCGTTTTCCTGGATACGGGACACGCCAACCCCACGGGCCCTCTGTTTTGTGGCATCTATCGTCCAGTAGTTCCTGGACATCCTAACATTACTCTCACGATGCATGAGACTTATTGCTGTGGTGAGAACGACGTGGTCGCTTTTAACCAGCGGTGGATGAAGGGTGATGTTTTTTCGCATCCGTCTCCCTCGTCGTAATTAGTAGGTTCAGTAGAGATGGTTTATCTCCATCTCGGTACAAATTCTCGCGGAGCCTTTGAATTTGGCAGCGCCATTTATTTCGAAAATCACACACTTTTGTGGATTTATTTGTCATCAAGTCGCGTTGTTATCATTTTCAAGGACACCAAATGCTATCCTACACGAGCACTTCCATGAAATCGTTATGTGTTAGCGCAAGAACTGCGCATTTTGTTAAATATTCCAACAATGTGAGAAATAAACTCAAGCGGATGGTCAAAACACAAAACGGCAGAAAGAGAGCATTGAGCAGGTTGGTAAGTCGCTCCCAGACAGTGCAGCACCAGTCAAATGCAAATTCCTCTCATTTTAACAAACAGTATTCGTTCTCTTTTAGGAAAAGTCGAGAAGGTAGTAGACATCACAAGGAAAAAGGAGTACAAAAATCTGGGAATTATTATGCTTCAAGAATCGTGACCACAGGAAGAAATCCACAGTAAAATTGTACAAGTGGATGGATATATTAGGTTGACCGTCCAGCGAGTGTCCGTAAACAAGGTGGAGATGTTGCAAATTGCTTCAGCGAAAACTGGAGTAAATCAACTGCTGTCATCTACGATTACTCAAATCAGTTGTCATGTCATCGGATGTAACCCATTTTTTAGTGGATTTCATTCCATCCATCTTGGAAACTTTTACCAGTCACCCACAATATCAGTTGCTGACATTTTTTCTTCCTCCATATCAACAAGAAGAAGTGACTCTTTGTGTATATTTGGTGGTGATTTTAACAGATATGATTTAACATTCCTCACCATACTGGGTCTACGAAATTTAGTACCTTTTCCTATCAGACTGAATTCACAGCTTGATTTCGTTTTCATGAACAAACCACAATATTTTAAGGTCCAGAAACCCACTCCTCTGGGTAGTTCGGACCGTTGCATCTTAAAAGTGTCCCACTGTATAAAGCAAAATCAACCGATAAACATTTTCAAGAAGCCCTTACAAAATAGCAAGTCAAAGAAATTGTTCGTCAGAGAACCTAGAAAGGCCAAGAATCATGATTGCTACCACTGATTTTTCGGTGTTTCCTGATCAGAACCCTTCTGTCCTTTGTGAACATCTTACGGACTACCTTAATTTCCGTTTTAACTACAGTTGCTCACTAGAAACGGTCTTTATCTATAAAGACAGATATTCATCGCCGCTACTGAAGCAGCTACGCAGGCGGAAAGAACAAGCCTATAAAAAAGGACAACGAATCCATGTCAAGCGACTAACAACTTCGATCAAAGCTGAAATAAATCGGTTGAATAAACTGTGCATCGACACTATCCCGGGAAACTCTAGTTGTCTTGGCATGTGGAGGTCTATCAACCGATTTTGTGGCAGTAGCAATAAACACAAAAAGAAAACTATCGATATTGAAAGACTAAATTCTGAGTTTAGTTCAGTTTCAAAGTGCACTTCCTTGCCAGAGTTAGGCAGCTCTATGCCAACACCAACTATCGAACCCGCCACATTCCTGAAGCAGCTACTGAAAACTAAGTTGAATAAAGCATCGGGCCCTGATGAACTATCACCCATAGTAATCATGGTATGCGGACAACCTTTTAGCCCCATCGTTAAAAATATTCAATGACTGTCTTAAAAGCGGGAAAATCGCTGATATTTGTAGACTGGCCAAGATAACTTCCGTTCCAAAAAAGGAACCTGGGAAATATCGTCCCATCGCCTGCACATCAGTCATGCTCAAATTATACCGTTGCATATCTTGTTCATTCAAGATAAGAAAAGTAAGATCGTCAGAATGGTTTTCTTAGACTACAAAACGCTTTCGACAGTCTTGGTCGATCAGTATTGCTCAACCTGATTACAGAAAGCGGTGTAAATTCAAATGTTAGCAGAGTGATCTCTGATTATTCCACAGATAGAAGGCAGTTTACATGTCTCAATGGCAAAATATCCTCCACTCGCCCAGTTTCCTCTGGTGCCCTGCAGGGTGCAATATTTTCCCCATTTTTCTTTTCCATGTATAACAAACAACTTCCCATTCCTCCTGCATCCATTGGCTGTAAATACCCCGGTGACGTTTTTATAGGTTGCAAAGCATTCACCCTGGAAGAGACTTTAGACATTCAAAGTAAGACGAACGACGTTGTCACTTGGGCCTTGTCCCATTCCCTCTCACTGAATGCCTGTAAATGTCAGGATGTTGTGTTTTCCCTCTTGGCCGATGTACCATATTTACCCTTCATAGATAGGTTTTCCACCCTCTCTGCAAATCAACAACCCGTACCGAAATCAAAAACAGTAAAATACCTTGGCATCACACTATTACACAAAGTACCATGGTCACTGCACGTTCAAAACACCTTCTGCAAAGTTAGAAAACTTTCATATTTCTCACTCCGATTGAGAATACATTTCTGTTTTCCACAAGCTGATTGTTAGATTTTTGAATGCATGCGTGCTACAACACTGATTGTGTTGCTTCTCAGTAATTTTTCCCAGTATGTTGAAGAAAGACTCTAATTTACTGGCGAGATCTTTAAAACACATCTCTAAATGTAGTGGCATTGTCGGGGATAAACTCGACGATTCCAGCATTGAGAGATATCGACAAGCATGCGGAAGTTTCACCGCCAAAATACTCTCAGACATTCACCACCCATAACACAATGAATTTTCAAAAGCTGTATCTACATCATCCACACGCTCAGGATTTAAACTTTTATTTGCACGTACCCCTGCTTATCGCAATTCTTTTCTGCCATATCTAGCACGTCTACTCATAGACAAGGAGAAAAGTTCCACAGAATTGCGCAACCACTTGCTTCATTGACAAACACCTCACTGCTCTCAGGTCCATTATGTATTGATTTTGTAACTTTGAATCCACAAATATGGTGTAATTGCTGAAAATACACCCATTCGGATGCATAAAGCTACTACTGAATTGAAAGTTGAATTGAAAAATTGAATAGTGCGCTCCCGGACATGTTGCTGCGGGGCCCTCGG